GAAAATTGAGAAAAGGATTCCAGATCTGGACTGGCTGCAGAATTTGTAGATTTGGCCACAGATGCAAATCATTGCTTGCTAAGATTTGTAAGTGAAGCATAAAGGAGAAAGCCGAAGCAGGTTGCAGGTCTGTTGAACAATTATGTTTGTACCTCATTATGTGATTCACCAGAAGGACAAGAGCCTTCTTCTCAGCTTTCCTGAATCGTATGGAAAATCTTTTAAAGGGTAGTGCGGAGAAGCCTCTTCCCAATGCCTTCACATAAGATTCCTGAAGCAGAATTTCATATAAACGGAAGATTACAGAGAAAAGGCTACTTAAGCCTTGTGAAACCAATGTTTCATTCATAAATGCGTTTTGCTTATGTCTTCAGCAGCAAGATAATCTGATCAGCAGAACTTGAAACAATTTCATTTTTTTTTTCACTTTTGAGACTCACACTCAGCGGTTTTCATGCAGTTTCTCCAAAATTCCTCACCATTAATGAGAAACATCACACAGAGTATATATTCACAAAATATTTCCCATCTAGCAATCACTAATGATACATGGTGCAGAAATTGCATATCGCCTTCGGGACAGAAGAAAAAGAAAATGCACCAGAAATACCACTATTTTCTCTGATTGAAGGCCACATGGCACAAAACTGATACTGAACATGATAAAATGAGAAAAACCAAAGCGGGTGATCATTCCAAAATGCTACAAAATGCACTTTGAGATCTCAAAATAATAGAGAGAATCCGTGCACCATGAGAGTCCACAATTTTACAAAATGCTGATGCTGAACTCCAGGGTAACTCGAAATTTGCACTTCATGTGGAGTGAAGTACCTCCTAGCAAAGGCTACGATATTGTTCTTCAATCTCCTTTGCTTCTGTTCAAGATCAACTCCTATCTACAAATAAGGAGAGCAAACTAGAGGGAATCAGTATCATTAGTGGACTATCACGGAAACTTAAGACGATGCTTGAAGAAATAAATACTTTGCGAGTATACGGGAGTACAAACCGGTGAATCAACTGTCACTCCACAAAGTATAAGAGAAAAAGTGTGTGAGTCGTTAAATTGGACCCGTGATGCACACTGGCATTGATCATTGTCCCACTCCAACTACCACAAAATAAACATTAAACAAGTTACTGATAACAGAGGTCAAAATCTCCAGCCATTGTAAGTATGAACATACCTTGGCTTTTCCACGGGTGTTCTTCTTAAACTTCAAGGATCTCGGATGAGTTTGGCCATTAATCTGATCTAGTATAAAGAATTACTGCACAAATGCAATAACTCAGCTTATTACTAAATCAAGAAAATCAGAATCTACCAATGTGAATATCACATTAAAAGAAACTCTAGCCAGAGCAGCACATGAATAAACAATTCTCACAAACATTGAACAAGTAAGAAGAAGGTTCTTTCTCCTATAGAAACAAAAGTGAATGAGGAACTTCCTCATTTAGCATTGGCGTTCTTTCTGGGGGGTGAAACTTGCCCAAAATACGCCTGTATACAAAATACTAAATATCAGTAAATATATCAGCAGCCAATCCTAGACTACGGCTACGCAGATCATAGTAAATAAACTTATACATCTACTAGATTGCTACTGCAAAATGTGGATCAGATTAACTAACAGTGGTATCCTGGAGTCTCCAAAGTAATTAAATGGCGCCTATGAAAGACGCTAAAAGGTCCTAAATGCTCAATCATAAGGTCATTAGGCATACCATGACTATAGTCCAACAGGAAAAAGAGTACGCCACAAACTGCACTCTCATTACTGCAGCATATACCGACCATGTCCTGGGGTCTAACAAAGTAATCAACAATGCAAAGCGAAGGCACTAAAGAGTTTTCGACTCTATCCGGCTTAGAAGCGAAAGGTAATGAACAGGAAGAGCGTCTCACATGCGTGAGGGAAGTTGTACCGGGACCAGAGTCGACAATGCAGCGGTGAAGTTCCTCCAGAAGCAAACGACATTCACGGGGGAAATCATCACGCTCCTGAACAAAATCATCCAGCACTAGAGCTCCCGGGGTGTTTTGTAAATCAGATGCTCCCGCGGGCGAACTCTCCATTCGAAACGACTACAAACAACAGCGACAATGACAACGACCACAAGCAATGAGCCACCACGACAAGATAGCAGCGTCAACACATAAATCTCATAAGGCATGAATACACATCGTACTTCAACAAATACAGAGCAGTGCAACATGCAAACACTAGAAAGCACCGCTCGTCGCAATTTGAGAAGCACACACAGAGAGGGGAATGACACTCGCCTTGGTTTCGACGGCCAACTGGTGAGCTAGAAGAGGCAGAGCTGGGTTTCTGCGGAGAGAGAGAGAGAGTGTGTACCTTCCAGCGGTGGGAAGATTATGAACATAATGGGTTTCTCACGTGAGAGATTTCTTTAATAAGCAAGTCTGAATTCCAAAAGGCACAAAAATCCACCACGACACCTTGTCGATAACTAGGTTTGCCATTTTGTATTATCGTATCTAATTTAGGATACTACTCGTTTAGCACGTTCAATATATAAACTTTTATGTATCAACTACAATGTTGGGGTAGAAACTTAAAGAATGCAATTGTATGCTTATTAGGAGGAAAAGGAAGTTTATGAGTTACAGAATGCATTATAGGAGAATCAATGAACTTATCTTTCCATGTCACTTGCTCCTTGTCTTTTTTAAATCTTGAACTGTCTTTTCTCCTCGAAAGTGAATCAGAAGAAAGGAAAACTGATTTTATCAGCTCACACATGCAAATGATGAATTTGTGAATGCAACAGCTATAACACTAGTTTCTAAAGTGGAATATTATGTAAGAACGATAGAGTTCAGACCCATTCCTTGCTGCAAAGTTATAGATAAATGCATCACTAAGATTCTTGTTTCGAGATTAGAGCGGATTTTTCACTATCTTGTTAGCTCAAATCAAAATGCAGTCATTGAGGGGAGGAAATTTGAGGATAATCTGGTGATTGCACATGACTTGCAAGTAATTATCACAGTTGTCTCCAATATCTCATATAAATGCAGATATAATGAAGGGGTTTCATTCAGTTAAATGGGAATTCATTCTAAATATTCTTGAGCCTATTGATGTTCCAATCCAATTCACTAACTGGTTCAAATGTCGCATTACTGCTCCTCTTTTTTCAATTTCTATTAATGGAGGATTTAAAGGGGTTCTTTCAAGGGAAGGAAGGAATTCGATAAGGCGGCCCACTTTCTCCACACTTGTCTGGTTAGGTTATTGAGGAACTTATTAAGCTTCTCAAAATGTGAGCATCACAAGGGAAGACGAATTTTCATCCTCGTCGTTAGAGAATAAACCTTACCAACTTATGCTTCACAGATGACATCATGATCCTTGGAAAAGGAGATATTCCGTCCAAAAAGGAGAAAACTGCATATTTACTTGATTCTATGGTATCTCCTGACTCAAGCCAAGTTGGAAGTATACTGAAGTTTATAGTGCCACGTTGTCCTATATTTAAATGAGTAAATCTTATTGAGCTCACAGGTTTCAAATGGGCGAACTTATCAGTGAGATACTTGAAAAAAAGCCTTCATTCTTAGGAAAATGCAGAGAGATATGTTGTCAGTGCTTGAGAAGATTTTAATCCGTATTAACAGCCAAACAGTTGCATTTGCAGGGAGATTACAGCTTATAAAATTTGTTTCATAACCACCTGCAGAATTATCAGCAGAGCACGTTTGCTTGCCCAAAGAAAGTTGTTGACTTGGTAGAGATAAAATGTACTACTTTTCTCTGAAAAGAAAAGGACACTCATTCAAAAGCAGCATATTTGTTTACTTTTCTCACATGCGTGAGCGAAGTTGTACCGGGACCAGAGTCGACAATGCAGTGGTGAAGTTCCTCTGTGTCCGGCGAGAGACAGCTCTTGCAGTCCACTCTCTTCCGGAATTTCTCCCCTTTTTTTACTTTTATTTTTTGAGCTGCACTTTTCTTTTATTTCCCACTACGCGAAACAGGTAGCGCCCTGTATTTTTCCCTTTTTTTTTTGTTGCTATTATTTGATTATCTTTTGCCGTGAAAAAAGCCGGCGTATTTAGGACTAGCAGGCTCTTCTTGATGGGGACGCGCTAAGGTCGCGAGTGGGCGTTGACCTGGGCTGGACAACTCGCGCCACGGTGGATCATCGGGTATGGACACGGACACGGACACGGACACGGACGTGGATTAGGCTTAACAAAGCATTACCTTTGTTAAGATTCCTTTAGATCGGGTCCGAGTTTATCTGCTTTCATATCCTTCTTTCCTAGAACTTGTCCCTCCCATCCAAGCTTCACCGAGGATTACTTCTTAATCGCCGTATTGATTGGCATGCCCCCACATTAATACATTACGCCATAACATAAGGACGAAAAGGAGGTCTCAATCAACCCGGTCTAGGATTTTTTACTTGGCCTTTTTATTACTCTTGGATCCAGGGAATATGATCATTCATCACCCCCCCTTTATTATGATTAATTCTGTTTGGGCCATTGAAACTCTCCAGTACCGATCATGCCCGCCTTAAATGATCATCTCATTCGTCGTAGGAGGGTATTTTGGTAATCACGCGATGATGATAATGTGTTCCTTGCACTTTCGTCCGGGTGCCAAATTTTCCCATCGAATGTGAAATTTTGAGGAAGATCAGCCCATTATCTCTAAAATGGGCGATTCATTAACCCTCCCATTCTGGCATCCGCCACAGGATAAACCACCGCCTTTCCAGCCCCCGGTTTGGATATTGGACATATTTGCTCATTTAATTTCGTGCAATATATATAAATTCACCATGATGATATCTAAATGATTGCCATGGTCCAATTACCATATAAAACTCAATGCCAATTATTCGTTTTTATGCATCTCGTTGATTAGGCGGATGTGGCAAAAGCACATTAGATTTTCATAAAAATTAAGGTCAATCGGAGGATGACCGAATGCATTTAAAAACATGTTTCTAAGAATGCTAAAATCACATGGTCTATCATCACTTGATGCCCTCTTAATTTCAGAGTTTGTACCCAGTCGAGTTTACAAACTAGTGATGATAACGTTTTAAAAACAATAGTAGCATTATTAGAAATAAACCTCCTAAAACAACAGAATGTAATGGTGTGATGGCCCAATAGATAATCCCCTATCTGAGCTCATTACAAAAACATGAATAGTGCCACATACATAAAACGTTTACAAAGACCAATAAAAGAAATCCTTCCTGGCCCATAACCATTTTGTTGTGGTACTGTTTTATTAATATAGAGACAACTAACAATGGCGGGCGGATTTTATGTTAGTATCAAACACTTTGTATACCAAGATCATCTTAAACACATTGACTTCACTTGCTAATACATAACTCAAGGTGAAATCATAATAAGACAGCACTCTCACCGAAAGAGTAGCCAAAGAAATTCTTTACCAAGCGACTTGCACTCCAAACTTCCCTATAGTTCTCATGGCCATTGATACCTGAAAGTTTTTTCGCATAAAGTTAATTATAATTTGTATAAAAGTAAATAAAGCAGATCAATGCTCTGAATGTTGCAATAAAGTATGTTGACATTAAATGTCATAGAACGATCCAAGTTCAAACTTCTAGTTGGGTTTGGGATAATCACAAGAAATTGCGTCAAATAAAAGCTTTTTTGGATGTGCAAGTGGTTACTTGAGAGCGGATTACCAGCAATACACCACCAGAACCCAGTTCACACTTTGTGTTCACATTGACTTCAGCAATGAGCAACCCTGTTGCAACCTGCAATGTTTCAACACCCAAGAATTGCAGCCGTGAGTGATAATTTGACTAGCTTGTTGTCAATGATGAATTGACAATGGTTCATAAAAGAAGAAAAAGAAAAATTCACAAGGTGAATATGTTTACAAAGTATCACACAAATTATTACCATGAAGATCCAACAAAAAACACTGGTAATTGCGGAAGCTATGAATCCAGATTCTCGTGTCACGGCAGGTATGGTGAGAATCCCAGCTGCTACGTATCAAACTTCGAATCATTAAAGCGAACATCACAGCAAAAATGAGCCACTAGAATTTCTCGACAAATACAACCAGACTTAACAAGCAATTTGTCATGCCCAGAATTTGCACTGGGCAGTAAGAGATCAGAATATCAGAGAGTCTGTGATCCAGACAAAATTGAACATAACCTATGTATGAAATTCACTCTGCACGCAACGCGACGCTAACTTAGGCCAGTCCCTGCAGAAATCGCACACAAATCGGTAATCGAATCCTTACCATAGTGCCTGCCACTAGAAAAACCGCACTGGACAAACTTCCTGAAAACAACAAAACAAGAACACTAACGCCGTCACACTAGTAAAAAGCAACATCGGAAAACACAGCCGCTAAGAAACGCGCGAGTCGCGCGAGGTCGGAGGATACCGTACCAGGTTCCCGCTTGAGAGTGGCCCGGTTGAGATTCGAGAACAGCTGCTCGACTTCGAGTTCGAGTTCGCTCCCTTTGCGAAGTGCATCTGAGCCTCACCGTCCTCGAAAGCTCGGAAGAAGAAGAAGAAGAAGAGAGGCGGTGAGGACGTACGGACGGTCCGCATCTGGGGAACCGCGAAGTAGGGGGCGAGCGAAAGGAACGGCGATTTCGGGGTTGGACCGAGAGAGAAGGCGATGGAAGGCAAAGAGACGAAGATGATGATGGCGCCATCGACAGTGTCTCCTCTCTTCTCCACTGTGGTAAGCAATGTGAGGAGAGGCGATAGGGTATTGTCAAGTCGTGGGTATCGAGAGTGGGAGAGAGAGTGTGATGGAGGAGCGACCAAGCGAGGGGAAATTTGGGAAGAAAAAGAAAGTTAGGGTTCTTAGTGGCTTCCGATTCCGGTTCCTATAGGAACCGGGAACCGGAACCTCCCACCCTGGAACCGGGAATCGAGCCGGATCCGCCGGTTTGGTTCTTCGATTTCCGGTTCTATCCTGGAATCGTGCTTACTCCTATATATAGGTAACAGGTAAGCATTGACAATAGTAGATTCGACTATTTCCATCACTATGAAAGTTTCAAAATTCACGTTTGAGGGATTCTTTTCAGAGAAGCATGAAATAATTAATGTCATTTTTTAAAAAAAGGAATGAGGAAAAGCAAATCGTCAAGGACTTCTCATGGCCCAAGATAAAGCTGAACTGCTTTTACTTCTTTCGAGCAAGAAGAAGTCGCTATCACTGCCCTCGGGATCGGGACTGCAGTTCCTAAGTACAGAAACAAGTAGTAACATTACCATTCTTTTCCTACTTTCTCTTCAATCTTTTTGTTGGCTGACGATACGGAAGAGCTGTGGGGAGAGAGAGAGAGAGAGAGAGAGAGAGTGCATGGGGAGATTCTTTCTTCGTTTCTGGGGCACTGCAAAATGCATGGGAAAGGGTCATTGGACAAATCGTTCACTTTAGAAGTGCATCATTTTACCAGTCTTTATGTTATTAATTTTTCTCTTCTGGAAATGTTACCATAGTAATAGACACTGGGGTATTCTTTGAGGTGAATGATATTGCAAATGAAATGGTAGAATGATTGAAATTGCAATTAAATCCTAGAAAGAAAAAAAAAACTGAGAAAAACCCTAAAAAAAGCTATAAGGAGAGAGATAGAGAATCGCGAATAAGAATGATAATTTCTAAAATACACGAGAGCACAAGATTCAAATATAACATGAATTCATTGAGAAAAACTTTGAGTTCGATACATTGTGGCATGATATAGTTAAATTCAAATTATTGAGATTTGACACAATTTCAATTATTCTTAATAAAATTATGTTACGATCACGTTAAATACTCTAACAATGATACAAAATAACATGGAACGATGAGTGCCGCTACGGTTTCGTCATAGGATATTCTATCCCTAGTCACAAGCCTCAAAAAGACTGGGAAGAACCCTAGCTCACCATCTCTTTATTTTATGTTTTTTTTTTAGTTTATTTTGCCTTTTTTCTTACTAGAGTCTTTTCTAAATAAGCTGAGATTCTTTAATCATCAAGGGGGTGGTGGTCGGTGTTGCCAGACCCAAGCCTTATTGAAAGACATGTTGGCCTTCATCACTCTCGAGGTTCTGTAATAAGTGGCATGCGACCCGCCTTATCTTCCAGCTACTTCATATAGGAACTCGACCAGACAGCTCAACTATATCTCCTTGTTTTTCTTTTTTAACCGTAAGCTGAACTGCATTTAAGAACATCTAACGTTTGTGTTATGTCCATAAAGAAACTTATCTGCCATTTTAGGCCCTAAAAATGGAATACTAAAAGAGAAAGGTTTGAGCATGAGGACGCGGAGTCATTATCTGTAGCAGATGAAAAATTATCGCAATGCGTGCAGCAGTATTGTCATTAGCGAATAACTTATTTCTATTGATTTAATTCATGACTTTGGGTGGTCCCCGAACAGCATGTTGATGATGACCACAAATGGGACCGAGTCTCTTCCATTAAGTGGAGCAAAAGAGGAAAAGAGAACAAAAACATAGCCTTCCTCTCTATTTTGACAATAAAGAACCTCACATGTTGACTACGACATTTCACGTGCATGCATGTGCAACGGCCTCTCCACAGGGTTTGAGAAACGACCTGATATACATATCATGAAATTTGTAACGTGATCAAACATACGTCAAACATATTTTGTTCGGAGTAATTCGATACCGCCATTGATGGTGCATTATTACACGATGGCAATCCATACATTAAAAACTATAAATTTTCTTTAATCAGCCCTCCGTATAAACAAACATCACTAAGAGTTCCCTATTTCGGAGGAAGTGTGGATGTGTATCAAGAACCCAAAGATAAGCAAATGGTCACTCTCACACCGACAAAGGCACGCACTCTTCTGCGTTCAAGGCATAGTAGTGAAGTTATAACGAAGTGGTGAAGTCCGGCTAAGTTAAGTGAGCTATATAAGTAGAGAAATAAGTAGAGCCTAAAAGTGGAGAGGACTGAAAATGAAAGGAAACCCAAAATAGCTTCCCTTCAGTTTCTCTACCTCTGCTGGTAATTTTGAAAGCGTCTGTCTTTTTATTTTTCATATTGATAGAAAACTCGCATTCTTAAATCGGGGTTCTGTGTCCATGTTATTGCATAGAGGTTGGGCAGTACACGGGAAAAAATATCGAGAAACATTATGAGCATGGTTGAACAACGGGTACTACGATTGATCGGACGTTCTCTACCGTGGAGTGCCAAGCTGTAGATCTTACAGTCTGATTGTTTCTTCATCTTGGCATCGGTCTTTTCAGCAATGGACCAAGGATCAGATCATCCTGTGTTCAAAATGTCGGAGCCGGAATAGGGATCCTTGCATTGGTCTTCCCCTATGTGGAAAAACGACAACAAACTCACCACAACCAACGAGCCCAAATCACACAAGAAACCCGAACCGCCGTCGGAAAAAGTCCCAGAACCGGAATCATCCACAAATCGCTCTTATCTCACCATCAAAGGCCACGAAACATTGACCTCCGAATCTTGTTCCATCTCCAAGAGCGAGGACGAGAGAAATATAGACTTGCCAACAACGACAAAGAACGACCACTCCCAAAACAGGGCGGGGACGACAGTGTCTAGAGCAAAACCGAGAGCCCTCCTTCCTTTTCGCGAGTTTCTCTGGTTCGAACCTCGCTCTGCTTTGCTTTTTCTCCTCCATAAGTATGTTCTCAAATCGGGTTTGTGACTTCCCAGGTTCAATCCTATGTTAACGCAAGTTTGAACGGGACTTCTAACTTGATGGAGGGGCAACCAAGATTCAATCCTATGGCAACGCAAGTTTTCTCTGGCGTAAAAACATCAGCCAGAACTTAGCCGTAAAAAAAGGACCAAAAAACAAGCCAAAACATATTTTCCCGATGAGAAATCAGGATTCAATGAATATGTTGCCAGTGAATTCATACACCCTGGGTTGTTGATGGTTCGATATGAACTCTATCACTACAGCCAATACTCGAGCTATTCTTTTGACGCTTGGACGGTAATTCTTTGTTGTTTTCCAAATGCCTAAGTGTCGCAGGAGGTAACGGAGGTGTGCAAAAGTTTCCTCGGGCAAATAGGATTTGCCCGCTTAATCAATAACTATTTGTTACGATTGATGATTGTGAGAGGGGTTGAAAATTAGCTGGTTTGTTTTGACAGGCATGCTGGTATGAAGATTCTCAGGGAGAATGACGTAAATTTTACCACTTACCCTCTCACTTTGTTGTGCCAAAGGGAACTGCTCGCTTACTTTTCTGCTAATCTGCTAGCCATCTACCAGTTTTTCCATTTCCTGATTTCCCTTTCTTTCTTTTTTTTGTTTTTGGGTTTTTTCTTGTGATGTGTACTTATGTCTTTGAAAAACGATGCAATTACCAGCAATATCTCGATGCTCATGGACCTTTGAATCCCCCATCCAAAGTGTATCGTAGATAGCATGACGGTACGTACTATGGGAGGATCCAACACTCGAAAGTCATCAACTAAGGAACTCTAGATAATGTTGTTCAGAGGCGGGGTTTACTACTGTACTTGCAACTTACATGATAGTGAGCGAGTGATGGGACCACTTTGGATTGATGGTTTTGGACCAACTACCTCTAAATTGATAGCTATGAACTCAATATTATGGAGAAAATAAATTCGTTGTTGAACAATTATATCACGTGACATACTGATACAATATCACTTTTGATAAACATTTCTTGTTTAGTGCATATTGGACAAACAACGATGCACCCATTCGGCAATGTTAAACGCAAGCAACTTGAGAACGAGAGAATGTAGCGTGTTTGATGATAGTTTATATGTTTGGTCGATGATATGTGATATAAGTATCAAATGATACGCCTTCTCATGTATGGTATGGGGGAGCGCATTCATATTATTGTGGGCCTTGTGGGCCACTTTTTTGGTCAGACTCGTGGGCCATTTGCTTTTGTCGTTTTCTTGCAAACAGTACGTGTTAGAATACTTGTTCTTCCTTGGGCCAAAAAATGAAGAATGCTTCTTCTTCCCCACCTCAGGCCTCAAGGCCATTTGCCATTGATCTTGAATCTTGATCACTATTTCTCCATTTTTTCTTTCTCATTTAGATGCATTATTCAAGCGCGACGGATTTTGCTGGAGAACTATGATGTAGCATAGCCTGCATCAATAAATATCACGTCTCTTTGGTAGCATAGCCTGGAATGTCATCCGTTATTAAGGTGTCATAATTACGCTTGCACGTGAAAATTATTCTGAACCTTATTAGTTGCACTATAAATTTCTACATTTATAAGTAGCCCAAAATGGTTCCTTACTTTTATTGACCCTCGTAAAATAGATGCTGTCAAGTCACTTTCATGTTCATTTTTTTTGTTAATCATACTTATATTGGTCTAATAAATTACCTGTTAGACTGCAAACTAGCCTTCAACAAGGGGCACCATTTAATGTCCAATAAGAAGTAAATTAGCATTATTTGAATTGGTCTCAAAGAAACTTATACTTATTGATGTGGGAGATAGGAAGTGGACATGACATACATATAAGCATACCTGTTATAGGGTGGGTTGGGTCAGGAATGGTTCGACCTAAATTGACCCATTAATCCATTTATGACCCATTTATTTATAATGCAAATTTCTTGACCCATACCTGATCCATACTCAACCAATACCTCGACCTATATTGATAAAACACTTCTATATTTAACCAAATCTAGGAAAACTTGATTTTTATGATTTAAAAAAATTTATATTGCTAAAACACTTCCATGCAATACAAATTTAGTAAAATATATTTTTTTAAAAATTTATTTTCAATTGTTTCACTGAAAATGTGACATTTTT